GTAAAAATTGATTACAAAAAATAAATGGCCATTAAAACAATATCATCATAATCAATGGTTTTATTTTCTTTTTTGGAGCTTTTAAACTCGAGAAGATGGAACAGAACGAGGAAATTTTGATATTTTAAAACTTCAGCTATTTGCGAGAAGATGGAACAGAAAAAATTATAGTTGTTCTGTTTGCCAAAATAAAAAAAAAAAAACGAACCCATTAAACCCCCCCACCCCAAAAGAATACTGTTTTGTTTTTTGTTTTTTTCTCATGTTTTGTTTACCATCAAATTTCATCCTGTGACCTTTTGCCCATATTTAGCATTTAGCGTTCGTTTTATTCGATAGAAAAGATGGTCGACTAACCGTTAACCATTACTGGGACCAAACAGCCTGTATGTAGATAGAGAAGAGCTTTATTGAATGTATAAAGATAGAAAGATGAATACGACAAGAATAAATTTTCTCACGTTTATAGAAAAAAAAATTCTAACATGGATATCTAGTTAGTTTACATTAAAATTTGGGCATTTTTGCTGAAACGGGAGTCGAAACCCGATCGCCTGTTTGGAAGACAACTGTGAGTCATGCGATCTAATAATCTTTTTGTTTTCGGGTGATAAATTATATAAAAAGCTGTCCGCATGTTCTTTTTTATCCGAGCGCTTTCGGCTATACATTTAGCCATTTTCAAGGATTGTATTTTAACTGTTAAAATAAGAAATAGTTTTTTGTACGTATGTTTTATAAAATGTCTTCATTTTTTTCAAACGTCGGTCAAGATATTATGTCCATGTTCGAAGTTAATATTATTAAGTGTTGGTTTGTTTGCAAGGCTTACATTATTTCTAGCCTTTTTTCCATGTAGATGATGCTATTATATTAGTGTTGTCAACAACTATGTTCCGAATATATATATATATATATATATATATATATATAATAACTAATTTATAACTAATCTTCTGCTAGTGACATCTCTTCCAAATTTCTCCTCTAATATTCTCCAATTGGAAGTGAATTTTAAATAGCACGAAGGGAAAGTTTTAGATTAGTATTTTAATTGAGATTGAAAGATACTACCCAATGTGGAAAATAAAATTATTTAAATGGGAATAACTGTTGATAACTGGATACATAAAAACAACAAAAATCAACCACGAGTTTACTTAATGAACAAAAATCAAACGAATAAATGTCAACCTAACAAGCTATAAGATAAATTTTTAGTGGAAAAAGTACTAAATATAAATTGATTACTTTTTCAATGTTCTGTCTATGGATTTTCCAATCGACTGCTTCATAGAAAATACCCAAAACTCCACCGAATTTCAAATTAATTTCTTCGTAGATTGTTTGAAAATTTAGATATTTATCAAACCTTAACCTCCCTAATATGCACGTTAAAGTAACGCGAACTGACAGCGTCTAAGAATTTGAATGAAACCTGTCGTAAAATTGATTGGGGTTGTTGTAGCTTCTTCCTTTAATGTCGGTCTTATATCTAGAGGAGACGCGTTAAATTTGAGCAACATCCAGCCGACACACTGGGGTTAAAAATAGGAAACTAAAATGATACATATGACACACTCATATCCTCTCTCCCACCTCACTTCCTCACTTCGTTAATTTTACGTATACTTGATGAGGTCCGTCAAAAAATTTTTCATTTCAGCTTTTGGAAGTAAAGTCTGATGATCCAGAACCCTGTTAAAGGGGTTTTGATGAAATAGCTTATTACATGGAATCTTAACGTGGTCTGTCTTTTATTCAAACAAATATATATATATATATATATATATATATATATATATATATATATATATATATATATATATATATATAATGATTATTACAAATATAAAATTTAGACAAGATTTTGGTATATCCCTGATATCTATCTATATATATATATATATATATATATATATATATATCTTGCTTGGGGTGTTTAATATATATATATATATATGTGTGTGTGTGTGTGTGTGTGTGTGTGTGTATGTGTGTATGTGTGTGTGTGTGTGTGTGTTTCTGCTTTTAATGTAAATTATCATTTTGATTTGTTATTGTATTTGTTGGCCAGTTCAGGTTTATCCGGACCAACTTGAGGGTGGATTCCGGGTAGTGGACGGTCCATTTGCAAACTTCCATCCCGACTTACGGCAGCACAACACGACAGCATTTGCCTATTTCCGAGATACGTTTGAGTTTACGGTAAGTTGACAAATTATTTAATAAAATAAAAAAAAAGAATAAAGAAAACCCGATAATGTCTGTTATGAAATGTGATTTTCTTCGTATTTACTCAGTCCACCGGAAGTCCTTCATCTCGAGTATCATATTCGATATTTATTTGCTCTTTCTCACCACTTCTTCGTACCCACAACTCCGAGTTGTGCAATATAAGATGTTATGTATATTTGTTAATATATATATATATATATATATATATATATATATATATATATATATATATATATTATAACGCTCTCAAAATCTCTCGGTTGAGCACTGTCGAGAGATTGGCGAATTCTGTAAACAGCAGTTGTCAACGCTCTTCATTGACGAATAGAGTTCTCTGGCTGTCTGGCGTTTTGTTTACATTCGTCAAAAACAATACGCTAGAATTTGTCTTTCTCTCTGACGAAGCGCCGGTGACTTTGAGATAGAAACTCCGACTGATACCAAATCGATCGGGTTTCAATACTGACTCGAAGCATTCAGTTGTCTATTTGCACTGATGAGCTGTGATAAGGCCAAACAGGAATGTATGCGAGTGACATTATATATATATATATATATATATGTGTGTGTGTGTAATTAGGCAGTAATCCTTCTTTCATGTATGGTTCATTGAATATGACAGACAAGGTGTTTTGATTTAGTTTTTTATAGAATTTCTCACGTGGTCTTATAATTTTTTTCTTTCCGTTAGATAAATTGTATATAAACTGTCCAATTTTCCAAGCGCTTTCGGCTATACATTTAACCATGTTCAAGGTTGAGATATGTTAACTCTTAACAAGAAATAGATTGTTGTATATATGTATTTATATAATGTTTTCATTTTTCAAAACACGGTGAAGATATTGTGTCCATTTTCATAGTTGATATTATTAAGTGTTGTTTTTTTTTTGCTTTTATTAATAATATATATTATATTTAGCCTTTTTTACACGTGGAGAATGCTGTTATATTAGTGTTGTCAACAAGTATGTTAACAAGTATCCCGATCCAATTCATCAGATCTATAAATTCAAAAATTTGTCGGTCTGATGAATTGGATCATCATTACGATTCCAATGTAATAAATTATAACCAAATTAATATTAGTGTTTGAGCCTTATATATATATATATATATATATATATATATATATATATATATATATATATTTTAGATGTTGTGAGTTTCCATTTGTCGGTGTATGAATCAAGACAAACACAGTTGTAGAGGAAAATACATAAAAGCAATTAACAATAGAAGATTAGTAGAACGAAGGTTGGTTAGTACGAAACAATATCCAAAGTCTATAGTCCAACGGTATGTAACGGGTAAGCTTATCTGGACTGCTAACCCTGACGCTCTGTCATTCTCTCTCCAGAGCTGACATATATAAGAGGGACCAGTCCATTACTAGTTAGAAGGTGGGTGCGCCCCAACATATATATATATAAGGAACGGGATGGATATTTTCTATTTATTTAGTCGTGATGATAGCTGTATTTTCAACGCCACCTGCTTGTATGTTGTTTACGGCTGTGATGATGCTGATAGTGATAATAGCTGTCATATTAATTATTATTGATAATGTTAATAATAGATATTGATGTGTAAACGGTAAATGTAGCCTTAATGACGGAATTATAAGGTGGGGGTGGGCAAAAATGATAATCTTATATATCATAATAATCGTGGTAACCATGATAGTGATGATGATACTAATACAGATAATATAACAATAATGACGATAATAAAAAAAATGGCGGTGTTAAAAAGAAGTACTGAGGTAGAGAAGATGGTTATGAAGTGAAAGATAGGTGTGATGGTAGTGTAGCTAAGGGTATTGATAATTTTATCGGTCTATGTTAATTGTTGTGGTGGTGTTTGCGTAAGTAGATGTAGCGGTAGTGTTGGTAACTTTTTTATATTTTAATTCCTGGTTGCGTTCAGTTATGTTGTATTTGTTAATTTGGTATGAACTCATATCCATACAACTTATTATACTAGCTCTATCACTGATATTGAGCACTTTCCACTAAGTACCGCGCATATAAAATAATACACACAAAACGCACACACACACACACACACACACACATATATATATATATATATACACACACACACACACACACATATATATATATATATATATATATATATATATATATATATATATATATATTAATGATATAATATGGTAATCCGTATGGAATTTCCAGACGGATATAGATCCAGAGAGAGCTTTATGTCAAAAGACAGAGCAAAATTATTATTAATTAGAGAAAATCAAACACTTAAAATTTAATAGCTAATAATTTTAATTCATGAAAGCTCTAAAAAACAATTGATTTATTTTTTATATAAAAATGTACTGCTGGTATTTTTACTTCAAAAATGTATTTTTCTACTTTTGTTTTGTTTGGCGTTTCACTGTTTGTCCGTAGTTGGGTCCCTGACAGACGCTACCACTCCAAGGATTATGAGGTGGTTCCACGCTGCTCAAAAGCTCCAATCATCTAATCAGAAGCCTTCTTGCCGGACGTAATTTATCTTCGTACCCAGGACTACATTTCATATCATTTGCATATTTGATCAGGAGATTAAAACCTGCGAATGGTTCTTCTCATATAAAAACAGAACATGGCCGGTGAGAGTTACAATACTACAGTGTTCAGGATCGATGTGACGAATCAAGTAAAAGTCTCGCGAGATTAACTGTGTTGGGAAAGGGACTAAAGACGAGATGACAGGTCAGAATGAGAGCAACGACGAAGTTCTTA